AGGGGAATCTGATATTGGTTCTCACATATATCGCCCGCGAATCAAAGATATGGACATGGTCTCTGGTGCTTCCGAACTAGAGTCCCTGGCTGCATCCGGACGACGATTTGTTCCAGACCGGGGATTTGCCGGTGTCGATCCTAGCAGACGGTTGGATGGGCCAGTTCAGTTTGAAAAAGACCTTAATGTAGATGAAGAAGATCCTTTTCAACTTAGCAAGTTCCTTTCGGCGGCTAAGAAAGCTCAAAAGAGGTCCAGTGACAATAATGCTCCTTCTTCCAGCACATCAATCGCCGACGCTAATCGGGACACTACTCATAGAAAGCGAGAACGTCGAGAATGATTTTTATTTGTGAGCTTTTGCCCATTGTGTATATATGCTTGTCTGAATATAAACCTATTTCATTATTCTCGCGTATTTTGCTTTTTGGGGAGTTCAATCTCCAATTAATATATTTAGCAGCATTTTTCTATTATGTGGCTCGATCCGTTTCTGGTATTCAAAATTCTGTCTTGATCCCATATATTGTCTCAGTAGATTACATAGAAAATTCGTCAATTAATACCAAGAAGTGGAGCTTTAATGATTAGCATCTTTTAGAATACGTCACAATTCCAAGTTTTTCCCAAGCTCGTCTGGTGAACTCGCTTTATGGGAGTGCTAAAATCTGTCAGCGTTTCACATATCAACAGGTTTTTTTTTTAAATCTTACTTTGAGTCATAAACCAGCTTTGACTTAAATATTTTAATTATTGGCATGAAAAAATATATAGATCAATGGGAAATCAGTTTTTGTGTTGCATATCTATTGACCAAGTATTTCTACAGTAGCATGATAATTGAGCTTTTACTTTAGTTTAACCGTCATTTGGAAGGGATTATCGCTTTAACCTCAGTGGAAACCGAAGGAGATCTGCGTAGAAGTCCTGATCATTGAGCTATGTGAAGAAGTTAGAGCATCTTCGTGTATACTGCGGTGAAAGGCGTCGTAGGATGGCTAATCTTTTCCGTAAGGAAATTTTCCAGATAAGAAACCAAGAATGGTGGACGGCAGCAATCCTGCCGACTGTCTATAACATGAATTTGATATTTTATTAGGTTTTCCTATGCGTTGTTCTGATACTTCTTGCTTATCAATACTTGCTTGCATTTGAGTAAAATTTGGGTGAGAAGTGGTTCTGGGAGTTAAACATAATGTTGCCAAGCAATTATTTGTCTACTTACCCAACACTTATTTCGATTCTGCAATGCTTTCACCTGTTATAGGCATGATTATACGTGTTTTGCTTGCATACAGTTCCTGACTCAAGACTTTGAACCCCAATCAAACTCCAGGCCAATCAATCCTCTCTTTAATATGTGGATTGTCTTGTTCTCCCTCCTTAGACAGCCAGAGTCAATTCTGGCTGAGTCTTCTGCACTCGTTACTTTTAATCAGGATGTTATTTATTTTAGGCCATGGTCTGATGGCTTGTATTGTTCATATATTATCTCCGTATAATTTACAGGCCTATGCATAGATAATAATATAAATAACCACATAAATAGGTGAATAACTAACTGATTAACTAAGTAACTTATTAAATTTTTAAGGAAATAAAGTGGAAGATGTAGCACTTGGCATAAAAATGTGCTGGTGGCTTTTGATTAAATCAGTGTTTAAAAGCCAGTAAGTAGTGCTCTTACATGGATTCACTGGTTGTAACCCTTTTATCCGGTACCCCACGACCTTTTCAGTATAAACGTCAGCTCACCATTCTGTGACATCCAATTTTATTCACTTCAGGGTTTCGGGTGGAGCCAATTCACGAATACTTTCCAACAAACTTATCCTTCAAAAGTAAACTTTGATTGACACTAAATTGTTAAGGGATTCACTGAAGCCCAGCTCTTCTTCATGTACACTTTTTATAGTTTTATAAGGGCCGAGTTCAGTATAAGGCTTGTGCTATCCGCCTTTTGCGGCCTTTTGTTTTTCATTCACTACATGACACAATGAATATTTGAAGGACAATCTGAATTATGTGGAAAAACGGGCTTGCGAAGAATCCCTTAGTAGAGTGATATTGGAGTACCTTTCATTTCGTTTGAAGAGACGAATGGAGGGGGTTCGTAAGTTGGCCTCCCAGAAGCCTTTCATGGGATTATTGACTTGAAGCTGTAACAATAGAGTTGTGCGAATAAGTCCTCGGCTCGCCGTTCCGCAACTGATTAATCCATGCTAAGTTGTCGTTGTCAGAGCAGAACATCATGTTTTACGATAATTTATCGCAACACAAACACAAGGTGGCGGGCTGCACGATAGACAACTGGACCTTCTATGTGAATCCTAATTTTACCGTCCTTCAGCTACAGTAAAATATGGGTGAATTACGGAGGAAATTGGATATTAGGACAATGTATATGGAGAATATAACGCTTTCCCCAGTACTTCCATTTTGTCGAGAATTTTCGGGCTCTCCAAATCTTGCTGTTATTGTGTTTTGTGTTCATATGATAGCGTCTATTTGGATGAGACCTGAAGATCCAGACAAAAGAGGCTATCTGAACATAAAATAGTCCGCAAGGTGTTGCGGGCCCATAAACCATAACTGGCCGAACTCAGCCTACACTGTAAACCAGATAGACTGGCCTAGAGCCAAATGCTAACGAGTAAGTGGAATATTAGATAATCTATAGAAATCAGCAAGGCAGCTAGCACCATGAATAGAAGGAATTGCTGTTTGATAGGAGAGAGATGAAACCAAAAATACCGCCAAGAAAGAAGAGGAGGCTTAATTAGCTTCAAATCTGGTTTTCCCTTTCAAATTCTACGCATCTCACTAGCATTGCCTATAAACAACACGTCTCATTAAGTGGGCAAAGCTAGGTTATGAGAAGTAGGCAGGATTGTAGCCGCTCACCTTTCTTGTCTTCGTGCTTGGTTAAGTATTGTAAAGCGTGGTGCTCTGCTTTGACGATGTCCTCCACACGACTGACGAAAGTTCAGCACAAATTCAAAGGGGTCGAGGAAGGGTGGGCCGAGGAGTTATTCGCACAGCTTAACGTTCGCAGCTCCAAGGCAACCCCTCTACAGCTTCCGCGGAGGCCAACTTACACTCGCCGGCTCAAGGGAAATGTAAGTTACTCCAACATAGCCTGTATTGAAAGCATTATTTTGAAACAGCAAAGCATTATACGTCTGAAACAAGATTTTTTTGGCGTCGTTTTTACATCTTTGAATTCGACTTTTGGTAACAGTAGGGCAAATTTTGGCGTTTACTAGTTTGATTGAAATCAGAAATGTCCTACACAACTTTAGACAAAATGTCTGTCGATAGTCTATAGAAGATTTTAATTTAGTTATATAAGAAGAAAAGTTGGGTTTCGAGGAATCTCTTGTTTCATAATTTTTGAGCTTACTTCCATTTCTAATGAAAGAGTTTTCTTGACTCGTTAGCTTGAATTTGGTTGTGACGATGATACCTTGCTCTGTAAAACCCAAAGAGATGCTTGGCCTCATTATATTTTGTATTATTATCAATTACTTGTCTATTAATTTCGCTGAAACTTGTGAAAAACTGACATGTCTTAATATTCTCATTTCCTGATATTGATGATTACCATTAAAAAGAGGAGGGATTCCTAGTAGCATGAGCTAAAGTATTCCTACTTTCTCTCCATAAGTATGACCTGGAAGGTAATCCAAGAGTAAACTCTTAAGAGTTCCACAATTAGTTCCTTAATGTTACCATTATAATTTGACAACGCGAATTTAATAACTTTCTAGGTGGTAACGCCCAATGATTCACTAGAGAGATATATCCACTTCTTTTAAATTCTACCTTGCTCCTTACAATATACTTATAAGGTATCCTGATAACTCCTTGATTCTTATACTCAAATTTATAAACTTTTTCGCATGCCTATTCCTTATGTGTTGAAATACTATTAGCCATTGCATGTAATCTAGAAAAGTCTTCAGGATCGATAGTGTTAGGCAATGCTTGACTTAATCTGATTTTGGTCCTCATAACAAAATAATGTTATTTTATAAAGTTTTCCTTAGTTCTAAATTTAAATAAAACGAAAAATTCACTTTGAAGTACTCGCTCGGTTCTCTTAGGCAAATTCGATCTATAAATAAAACAAAATTTAGGAATAAGCCTAAGTGATGAATATATCGTCAAAAGTAGTTATATGACTAACTTGCCTAACCTTGTTCTTGG